GAAAGGACGGTCCACCTATTAAGAAAAAGACAATGGAAAGGAGTTCGATGACAGGGAGGATGCCGAAGAAATGTGGTGGTCCTGGTTCCAACAAGGCCATGGACTGCAACATGAATCGAAGGGTTGCAGGATCTTGGGGACTGGTTCGAAACACTTGTGCGCGATGCTTTAGGCTGGGATCATTTTTACACGCCTTGACCGATTTCCCCACCCGTTGTTTTTATTGAAAACTGTGGCGTTCGTCCTTTCGACCGATAATCACGACCGGGTTATGCAAGACAAGAGCGAAGACTGATGGGCTGGAATCCAGCGAGCGCAGCAGAAGGTGAGGTCGGTGGTTCACTTGGGGTCTGCTTGTTCGTGCAGGGATCACTGTCCCGACCTCAATGCGCAATCGGAGAGGACTGCGGCAGTGCACACGGGCAGTAATTGGCGCAACGCAGCGTGCACGAACTTACCTGTGACGCTTCCAAATCGAACATCCTTGCGGCGGCGCGTTCGAAAATATTCCTGTTGTGATGCATTCCGAATGGAAGCCCTTTGCGGCGCGTTCCAAAAAAATCCACAATGAGGATTTCCCGTAGTATCCCTGCGTGGTGATTTCCAAGGGGTTATTGTTGCGAGGCTTTCCAGGTCTAATATCTGTGCAGTGGTTTCCAAAGGACTCCTGTCGTGAGGTTTTTCAACCATCCCTCTGTCGCGAGGCTTCTACAGTGAATCCCTCTGTGGGGCTTTCCGATGGATTCCTTGTTGCGCGACTTCCAATAGTAATCCTTAGTTGTGTTTTCAAACATGGTTTCTGATGTGAAGTTTTCCCGTCGGATCTCTCTGTGGTGCTTTCCGATGGGTTCCTTTTTGTGTGCGGCTTCTTTCCAACACGAGCCCCTTGGTGGCGCTTTCCAAATCCATAAAATCCCTGCGTGGTGCTTTCCAACGGATTCCCTTTGTGGCGCGTTCCAAAACGAGCCCACCGCAGCGTCTTCCAGGGGATTCCTCGTGACGTGCTGCTTTCAGAAGGCTCCTGTTGTGAGGCTTCCAACAGAATTCCTGTGTGGTGTGTTCCAGAAAAAGTTCGTCTTGCGATACGCTCTGGTCTAATCCTTTGGTTGCGCTGTCCAGAGGATCTCTATTGCGAGGCCGTCAGATAAAACCTGTTTGATGTCTTCCAAAAGGTTCCAGTTGTTTGTTCCAACCGAATCCTTCTGGGGCGCTCTCCAAAAGGATTCAAGTACAATTGTTTCCAGCAAAATGCGTGTTGTGCAACGCTTTCCAAAACAATTCCTGCTGTGATTTCATGCGACGGGCTCCCTGTGTAGCACTTCGCACAGTGTTCCAAACCCAAGGCTGTCCAATCGAATGATGTTGCGGTGGTTTCCAACGCATTCCTCTTGTAATGTTTCCCAAGTGGAAGCCCTCAACAATGCTTTCTAAGCGGTTTCATTCATGATGCTTTACAACCGGGTCCTTTCTGTAATGGTTCCGATCGGATTCGCGTTGCGAGGCCATAGGAGATCATGTGGGGTGTCTTCCGAAGGATTCCTGTTGCGGGCGTTATGAGGCCTGCGACAAAAACATGTTGTTGTTGTTGTTGTTTTTAAAAAGGGGGGGGGCGCCCCCTCCCCCCCCCCCCGACCAGCACCATCAGTGGAAGGGGAGAGGTACCCCCCACTTGGTCACGAACCAGAGACATCGAGGTTCGCATAATCGAGGTCGCCACCACGCGGCCAACTCAGCAAGGTTCGCACAGCGAGGTGCACAACCAAAGAAAAAAACGCGAGGAAGACGAACACAACCAAACATTTCAAAAAAACAACGGGTGGAGGAATATGGCAGGACCCATGTTTACATGTACTTCTCGGTGATTGTTTTGCCAGCGTGGGCCAGCAACGATCAGTTATTGCACGGTGGACGTGCCAGCTGCGTAGTGCAATGTATGCGGTGTAAGCTTTGCGGCGCAAGTTACGTGGTGTAACTTATGTGGCACAAGCAATACTATAACACACGCGATGCAAGTTACGTGGCGCGAGCCATGAATGCGATGAGGCGCAACGTATGTGGTGTCAACGTTGTGGTGCAAGTTGCGTGGTGCAAGATATGCGGTGTAAGCTTTCTGGAGCAAACTATGCCGAGCAAGCTACGTAATGCAATGCACCAGGTCACTGATGAATCGTCAACTCCACTGCTCGCGCGAACACTCCACCCTCCAAACCGTAACTTGTCTGGCAATACCGATCCACGCACAACTAGAACTGCTGCTTGGCACTTGCTAGCGTATGTCTGCGGCCGCGCTGGCCCGGGCGCGCTTGCGCGCAGAGCAGCAAACAAGTTTAGCACAACAATTGCGGGCGCGACGGAGCTTACCGAAAGAACCTTCCCACCGCGTAAAAAAAAGCCTCGTTGCTGCGTGGGCATCTGAATGCGGGTCGGTGGCTCGGGCGGGCGCGGCATCGTGGTGACGCCGACACTAGCGGCAACGATGTTGATACTAGCGCTGGTGGTGGCGATGGAGACGATAACGACGGCGCGGATGCTGGTGACCACGATCACGATGATGATGTCCACATGACGGTGATGGAAATGGGTATCATGACTGTCCCGTTAATGGCCGCAACTGACGATGACGGTAAAACATTCAATGATGGCGGTGAAGAAGGTAATGGTGAAGTTCGCGCACGGAAATAAAATAAAGCTGCCCAGCTCGTTGTTGACATGATAAGTATTGTGTGGTTGAAGAAGTAGGTCTTGAAATGCTTGGATAAACCTGGGTGTTGGAAGGCGTTCGACACACGTGCGTGGCGGCGCGCGCCTGAAGCCCACATGAAACTGTTTGATACGGCAATGTGCACAGGGCGCGTGCTAAATCGATGCGGATGCACTACGTGGTGATATGAGGCTGCCGTTTGCTCATATGGCTCCCCTGCAATTCCAGCAAGTGAGTGCGGGCAGGCAGGTCTGCAATATTGCTGCGGAGGAACAACCATGCTTGGAAGCGGGCGGCAGGTCTGCAATATTGCTGTATTGCTTGTGTGTTGGAATGCTTGCAAGACTACAACCTTTGGTATTAGTTCGGCATGTGCCCGCATGCGGACTTTGGTTGCTTTGCTTTGCAAGGGACACTTGAGACACTGTCTCTTGATAATGGTCGGATTTGACAGTGATGAGGCGGGGTATCGATACTGGCTGGGCTGGGATAGCTTGACTTCGTATGCAACATACCAGATGGGGCATGCTATCGGACCCAGGTCAGAATCACATCCTTCAAGAACATGAGTCCTTCCGCTGGCCAAAGAGAAGAACATTCGAGGGTACCCTCCCCCAGGATGCACAAACACGTCCCACAGACACGAAGAACAGCAGGGTACCCTCCCCGAGCCGACAAGTGACCAATGAGGAATATTCACGTGCAAAATACAAGCGGGGTGCGGTTATGTCTGGGCTCTGGAAGGTGGCAGAGCCCATCCCAATCCCCTAACAAGGAGAGTATACGCGGCCGCCGAGCGCGGGCGGCGCTCCCGCGGCGCCCACGAGGCGCCCACGAGGCGGGCACCAGGCAAAGCCTCGGCCGACCCGCCCGGCGCATGCGGCGCCCACAGGCGGGCAACAGGCGAAACCTCGGCTGACGCACCCCGCGCACGAGGCGCCCACGAGGCGCCCGCGAGGCGGGCACCAGGCAAAACCTCGGCCGACCCGCCCAGCACACGCGGCGCCCACGGGCGGGCAACAGGCGGAACCTCGGCTGACGCACCCCGCGCACGAGGCCGCCCACGAGGCGCCCGCGAGGCGGCGGCCACGAGGCGGGCACCCCGCGAGACCTCCGGTAGGTCTCCGGGTGACTCCTCGGGGAGGGGAGCTGGTTCTCTGAGGATGTCCTACACGAGATGGCGCCAACCTGGAATCCGCCGCCAGATTTCCCAAGAATTGCCCCGAAACGGAACAAGGGGGCTCTCTGAGGGCCTTCTTGGGGAAGCTCGGGGAGCTGGTTGTCTGAGGAGGACCTACACGAGGGCACGCCGGATGTTTTAACTCCGGGAGACGGAACGGCTCTCCGAGGGCCTTCTTGGAGAAGCTCGGGGAGCTGGTTTTCTGAAGATGACCTAAATACACGAGGGCACTGGGTTGGAAATCGTCGCCGGATTGTTTGAACTGCGGGAAACGGAACAAGCGGGTTCTCTGAGGGCCTTCTTGGGGAAGCTCGGGGAGCTGGTTTTCTGAGGATGGCCTACACGAGGGCGCTGGGTTGGAATTCGTCGCCGGATTTCTTGGATTTCACCGATATCCCGGAAACGGAACGGGGGGGGGGCGCCCATTCCCTCGCGCGCCAGAGGTCAGGACGACGTGAGTTCTCAAGAAACTCCCTCCAACAAAGAAGATGAGGGAGAGGAGGACGGGGAGGATAACGTTAATAACGAGCGGGAAGACGAGGACGAGAAGGACGGAGATGATGAGATGCTTTCTCGGCGGCAGAGCCCATTGACACTCGCCAGCACGGACCCTATTATGGGCCATCGGACACCTTCGGTGCACGTGCCATGCTGGCCCTAAGATGCAGATCGAAACACGGTACAATAACACACTTTCTGAAACGAGCACAACCGCAAATCTGCGCGAAGTCGTGATACGTGCACAAATTGATTCTGGAATGCGGGATTGCCACTGCAGCGGGGCGCACCCACTGCAGAGACGAGGTGAGCCGAAAGTCGAAAGAGCAAATAGGACAGGGCTGCGCAGAAGTGTGTGAGGCTGCACAGACGTGTATGGGCAGCGTCTGCAACTCCAAACCACAGCGCACACTCTGCTGCCCAGAAAAGACACAGCAGAGGGGCGAGCAAGGGCTCCTCCTTCCGAAGCGTCCGCACCGATGCACGGCACGATGCCCTACCGGTGGGGCAGCGCGAGGCTGAACCCCGCCTGGAAATCATTGGAAATGGGCTCTCACAAAGAGACTCTGGTGAGACCGCCGCGCTTGCCTGGCGGCACCGGTGAGTCACCTCCGTGCAGTCTCAGGGGCTCCTGGTTTCGGCAGTCGGTCTCCGCCCCCTCCAGGGCATAGACGTGCTCGGCCAAGTCCTCGATCCTGAGGGGCAGCGATAAGGGATGCCACCTCAGGGGGGGAGGCATCGAGCTGGAAGCGGCGATGCCTCGCCGAGGCATCGGCGATGGGCCCCGGACAGCGCATCCGAACGTTCCTGGGCATGCTGGGGCTATCGAGCCCCAATCGGCGCTGGATAAGTGATGGGGGGTCGACGCGTTCCCCCCCGAGCCCAGCCCCGTGCCCAGTGGTTTTCGGGCCATGCCTCGGCTCTCTGGCGGCAGCCCGGGGCGCTTCGGGCACCGCCGGAACGACCTCTTGGCGAGGCGCAGCTGCTGGGAAGCACTCCTGGGGCCAGAAGCCGCCGAGATCCAACGATAACGCCAGAAAACCTTGAGAGCCTCGATCCTCCGATCCTCCGCCTGCCCTGGAGCCAGTCCCCCCCACCATCTGAGTATCGTTTAACAGATCCCCATCCACAGCGGCGTAGCCTGGGCCCCACTGGCCGATTTACCCCCCTAGATGGGGATACAGATCGTTTCCTTCGGGTTTCGAGGGGTGTATCCCCAACTGGGGTGGTAATTTGGTGGGGGTCTCGAATGGGATGGGGATGGGGATGGGGATGGGGATCGTTTCAACGATACTCACCATCGTTGACCGTGAGATCCTGCGCCGCCACGCGCTGGCTTCCAGCCCCGGCGCGCCCGGTGGGGCAGGAGACCTGCGCGCGCCCATGGGCACCGGGCACGACTGGCCCTCCACACCCGGGCGGGCCACCCTGCCGTAGAGGAGGCTGGCGATGGACTCGCCTGGGGGAAATAAGCGACATGACGTAAATGGAGGGGCCCTGAAAAACAAAGAAGTAGATACAAATAGCAGAACCCCCCATATGTTCCGACATGCTCCAGGTTTTTGTCTTCCCCCCCTTTCCCATACCTTCTCATATTCAATCGGGGGAGTCGACGATGTATTGGGGAATCGACGATTCATTGTGTCTGTGTGTTTCTTCCCCTCCTGAGTAAAGCATGAGCATGAAACGTCGGAGGCCCGCGGGAATCTCTTGGTGCCGGCGCAGGGCCCCTTCCATTCCCGGCTCGCCCGGGCGCACCATAGTGGCGGCGCCGGAGGCGCCGCCCAGCGCAGGCACGAGAAACCCGCGCGGGCCCCTGAGCATTTACGCTCCTTTATGCCATTTCCGCGGATCGAAGAGGGAGCCCTATGGATAGGAAGAGATCCAAGGGTGGTTTTGCATTGCTTGAGCCATCTCGTCTTTACGGCCCCGTCCCGGCCAATGGTTGTGTTCCCCGAACGCCGGGGGCGGGAGACCGGGGCACGATGTGGACGCCGTCTTCGAGGGACTCCGTCGCGAGGGAGTTCGGCGTCGCCCAGCCCGGGCCGCTGCCCACCGCGGGGACGGCGTCGCGGAGGCTAGTGCCGAGCCTGCGATCGCCGCTCTTGTGCAAGCAGTTACCCCAGCGCCTCCAAGCAAGAGTGCCGACGCAGCAGACTGTGACGCCGACCGACAGGAGCACCACAGACAATACGAGCTTGACCCCCCCTCCGTCGATGGCCGCGGCAGACAGGGTCGTGGTCTGGGCGTCGGCCACGAACTCCAAGGTGGCCTCCAGGTTGCTGACGCCGAGGACACTGAAATCAAGCGCCCCCCTTGCCAACTCCACCGCCAGCGCCCTCTCCAGCTCATCCGACGCCTGCAAGAAATCCTGCGCTGTGAAGCTCACGGCAGGTGACCAGGCGACCGGCATGGCTGCCTCGAAAGAGATCCGCACGCCGGCGGAGCCGGCGTCGGCCTCGGCCCCCTCGGCCACGGAGAGGAGACGCCCGTCAAGGGTGACGCTGATGATGTCGACCATGTCGGGTGTCGCGGTGGGCAGCACGGCCGCGATGCCGAAGGCAAGAGCTGCGCTGACAGTGGGGTCGCCCTGCTCGAAAACGCGGACCAAATCAGCGGGCTCCGAGAGGGCCAAGGAAAAACTGCCGGTAAGCAGTGCGACTGCGGCAGGAGCCGTGATCGTATGCCACGTCGACCTCGCAATAGCCGTTGTGGTGGCCATGCAGGTATGCGGACACATCTCGCTCATGTCTGACCTGCTGCAGTCCACCATATCGCAGTACAGCTCCTCTGTGAATGATGTCGTCGCAGTCGTCACTGCAGACACCCTGGAGCGAAATGAGCTGGCAGTCAAAGTGCCTGTGGGAAGCTTTGTGGTGAAGGAGCTGGTGATGGACGTGGAGGTCATCGATGTGGAAGTCAAGGTGGATGTGCTGCTAGTCGTCACCGAGTTGGTGGTCGATGTGGAAGTCCCTGTGGCTGTGGACATGGTTGTCGTGACCGAACTGGTGATCGACGTAGAAGTCAAGGTGGATGTGTTGCTACTTGTCGTCACCGAGTTGATGGTCGATGTGGAGGTCAAGGTTGCAGTGCTGCTCCTTGTAGTGGCCGAGCTGGTGATCGACGTGGAAGTCAAGGTGGATCTGTTGCTACTTGTCGTCCCCGAGTTGGTGGCCGATGTGGAAGTCCCTGTGGCTGTGGAGATGGTTGTCGTGACCGAACTGGTGATCGATGTGGAAGCTAAGGTTGATGTGTTGCTACTTGTCGTAACTGAGCTGGTGACCGATGTGGAAGTCAAGGTGGCAGTGCTGCTGCTTGTAGTGGCCGAGCTGGTGATCGACGTGGAAGTCAAGGTGGGTGTGTTGCTACTTGTCGTCACCGAGTTGGTGGTCGATGTGGAAGTCCCTGTGGCTGTGGAGATCGTTGTCGTGACCGAACTGGTGATCGATGCGGAAGTCAAGGTGGATGTGTTGCTACTTGTTGTAACTGAGCTGGTGACCGATGTGGAAGTCAAGGTGGCAGTGCTGCTGCTTGTAGTGGCTGAGCTGGTGATCGACGTGGAAGTCAAGGTGGCAGTGCTCGACGTGGAAGTCAAGGTGGATGTGTTGCTGCTTGTCGTCACCGAGTTGATGGTCGATGTGGAGGTCAAGGTGGCAGTGATCGACGTGGAAGTCAAGGTGGGTGTGTTGCTACTTGTCGTCACCGAGTTGGTGATCGATGTGGAAGTCCCTGTGGCTGTGGAGATCGTTGTCGTGACCGAACTGGTGATCGATGCGGAAGTCAAGGTGGATGTGTTGCTACTTGTTGTAACTGAGCTGGTGACCGATGTGGAGGTCAAGGTGGCAGTGCTCGACGTGGAAGTCAAGGTGGATGTGTTGCTGCTTGTCGTCACCGAGTTGATGGTCGATGTGGAGGTCAAGGTGGCAGTGATCGACGTGGAAGACAAGGTGGGTGTGTTGCTACTTGTCGTCACCGAGTTGGTGATCGAGGTTGCAGTCCCTGTGGCTGTGGCAATGGTTGTCGTGACCGAACTGGTGATCGAAGTATCAGTAGTGGTAGCGGTGGTGCTAAACGAGACCGTCGAGAAGGTGACGGATGTGGAGGTCACAGTGCCCGTGGTACTTCTTGACGTAACCGAACTAGTGATTGACGTGACAGTCTGAGTGGCGCTGGTGATCGTCGTCGTTGCCGAGCTAGTGAGAGACATGGTAGTTCCCGTGGCTGTGGTGCTAATTGTCGTGACAGAGCTGGTGGGCAAAGTAGAAGTCGCGGTGACTGAGGTACTGATTGTCGTTGCCGAGCTTGTGACCGATGTGGCGGTCCATGTGGCCGTGGTGCTGGTTGTCGTGGCCGAGCTTGTGATCGACGTGGCTGTCGAGGTGGCCGTTGTACTGCCTGTCGTGACCGTCGATGTGGCCGTCCAGGTGGCTGTGCTGCTGGTTGTGGTGCCACTTGTTCCAGAGACGGAGGTGGAGGCCGTGGTCGAGGAGGTGACGGTCGTCGTCGAAGCGCAGCTGCAGGAGCAGAGCTCCGCCGTCCCACCCTTCGAGCAGTCGACGTAGATGCAATACCACACCTTGTCCTCGCACGCAGACGCCGCCGTACCATTGCTCGTCGTGGCCGATCCGGTGGTCCATGTGGCAATCGAGGTGGCCGTGGTGCTGGCTGCCGGGGCCAGGCTGGTGATCGATGCTCGGAGGAGGGCCGGTCAGCACAAAGGATGCTCCGCCGCTCTGCCCATCTTCGCTCAAAGACAACCCTCGGCCCCCTCCGCAGGGGCAATGCCGACCCGTTTCCCGAGGCGGGTCCTGCCGCGGGGGCGAGGAGAGGCCCCCAGGAGGCCCATGCCAAATCGAGGAAGACAACTGGGCCCAAGCGTAAACTTTTGGGGCTCCGCGCGTATTTTTTGAATCGGCGCTGGACCCCCCCCTCCCTCCCGCGCGGAGTGCGCCAGGGGCGGGGCTGGAAGCGCGGCCACGGGGTGCTGAGCGCTGGTCCGAGAAACATTCGCGCGGACCTCCCACAACTTCTGTTCATGGCGTTGTCGCTTTCCCTCGGCAGAAAAGCGAGATGATGGGCCTGTTGCCCACCACCACCACCATAAGTTGGAGGGGGAGGGGGTCCTTCTCCTCCTCCTCCTCCTCCTCCTTCACCTCCTCGTCCTCCGCCTCCTCGTCCTCCAACTCCTTCCCCCCTCCAACTTATGGTGGTGGTGGTGGTGGTGGTGGGAAACAGGCCCATCACGAGAGACGGCAACACAGGCTGCCGTCGTTTTGGATGTGGGAAAACCGAAGACGACCGATTCCGCTAACCGCTTCCCCGTGACAGTGATGAGTTCCCCCCGCCTTGGGTCGTAGATGGCACGAGAGGCGGGGAGGCGGGGAGGCTGATCTATATTGTCCCCCAGCAAAACTCCAATCATAGTTTCGATCTTCAGATCATGCATAGCACTGATCTTCCGCCAAGCGGCTTATATCCAATTGTATGAGGATGGCTGAGGCGAGACGCGCATTTTCACAGATTCGCCAAATTCGCGAAGATCAGCTTTTCGAGGATGTCCCAAGCAACGCTTGATTTTGTAAAGGCACTGTCGCGAACATGCCATTATTGTGAGGATGTCTCAGGCGAAACGCTCAATTCTCCGAGGGTCATTCAACACCGCTCCAGACATCCCAGCATCGACATCACTGGGAAAACAATGTGTATCCTCCTACGCTCCCGAACTCGATTATCCCGATGGGATTTATTCTCGCGGGCCTGGGGTTACTTCCCGGACCTCACCCGAAGTATGCTCTGACCATCAACTCGTAGCGAAAATAGTCGCGGTGACAAGGGCCCCTGCCAGGAAACCCGAAACAGGCGAAAACGAAACAAAGGCAACGGCACCCTGAGATCGGACGAAACGAAAACATGCGACACCGAGAAGAATCACGACCAAAACCCCAGGGAACAATGTTGCTTCGCCCACTCGTGTCTCATCTGTTTTAATTCGCCCGCATTTTTGTTCATCCGCGTTTTGAGATTCCACCTTCTGAAACGTCCGCCTTTTGTTTCGTTCGCGTTGGTGTCGTCCGTGTTGACTTCGTCCGCTGTTTGTTTCGTCCACCATTGTTCGTACCGTTTCCAGTCTTGCGAAATTTCGTGTTTGAATCAAAGGAACTGGGACAAAAAACGAATCGAGACTGGGCGGATTGAAACCACACGAATAACGCAAACGGGGCGAATGCAAACCGGACGAGGCGAATGAAAACCGGATGAACCAAATCGTGTACATCAAAACAAGAGAATCAAAACGGGTGAACCAAAACGGGCAAATCGAAACGGTTGAACCCCGGGTGAAAAGAAAGCAAGATCGATCCCTAGATCTCATGTTTCTGCGCCATCTCTCGAGCGGGATCGATCTGTGAGGGTCCTGGGGGCAAGAAATGATTCGAAATCGCCCGACTCAAACACGTTGCGACGCCAGGATCTACAGGCCTCCCAGATGGGGTCCGAGTAGATGGCGTCAGAGGATCGCGACGCATCGTCGATGCATCGCCGATACATCGGTGATGCATTGGCGATGTCGGCGATGCATCGGCGACGTCGGCGTGGAGAAAGTCAGGTCCCACATCGAGTCGCATCGCCGATGCATCGGTGATGCGGCGCGATCTACCGATCCTTCTGCGGCAGTTCATGGGAGTCTCCTTCACCATCCTTTTGGCTCTTGTGAATCGACACTAATCGACGCTGAATCTCGACACTCATTCGGGGCTGCCTCATCGATGACCTGACGCTAATCGTTGCGAGTGCAGTCTCAATGCGGAAATACGAAGGTATACGTGGCTGCCCCGATTTGCTACCAAACGACCCCATCTACCCTGACCCCATCTGGGAGACCTACATGTTCCTCCTCGAAGACTCGGGAGCGACGATGGGGGCGAATAATCCAGGGAACAACGAAACATATAACGTTCTTAGCCGTTGTAGCGCACGGCGGGACGCCAAGCATCAAAATGAAAAGGCTGACGCCTGAGCTTAAGCTTCAACTTGGGACTCCCCGTGCGAGGCGAGGCTGGACTTGTGCGAGGCGAGAGCGGTTTGTGGAGGTCCAGGGAGGGTGTGAAGCCCGCGGCGCCAACCACCTTGATCAGAATTACACTTGTTGTTGCACTGCAATGTGTTTTGCATTGCAATGTTTGGTTTGCATTGCAACTTTGCAGTTCTAGCGTCAGCTTTGGATTCCTCGTGCGAGGCGAGAGCGGTTTGGGGAGGTCCAGGGAGGGTCTGAAGCAAGCCCGCGGCGCCAACGACCATGATCAGCCTTACAGCTGGTTTGCATTATTTTTTTGTTGTACATTGCAATTGTTTTTGTAATGCAACTCTGCCGCTCTAGCTTCAGCGTCGGATTCCGCGTGCGAGGCGAGAGCGGTTTGGGGAGGTCCAGGAAGGCGTCGAAGCCCGCGGCGCCAACCACCTTGATCAGAATTACACTTGTGTTTGCATTGCATTTGTTTTGAGTTGCAATTATTTTTGCATTGCAACTTTGCCGTTCTAGCTTCAGATGTGGATTCCGCGTGTAAGGCGAGAACGGTTTCGGCAGGTCCAGGGAGGCTTTGAAGCCCATGGCGCCAACCACCATTCTCAGCATTACATTTTTTAGGGGCCTCTTTGGGGCCTCCTGGGGGCCTCCTGGGGGCTTCTTGGGGCCTTTTGGGAACCTCTTGGAGCCTCTTGGGGGTCTTAGAGCCTTCTGGGCGCCTCGTGGGGCCGAGGGAAAAAAATCCGTTCGGGTTCCCCGTCTGGGCCCCCTCTTGGGGCCGTCCTGGCGCCATCTTGGGCCGTCTTGGAGGATTATTGGGCCGTGTTGAGGCCCTCTTGGACCGTCTTGGGGCCCTCTTAGAGGCCACTTCGACCGTCTTGGGGCGATATTTAGGGCCTCCTTGGCCGTCTTCCAGCGTCGGGAAGCCGAAGAGGTGAGAACGCCCAAATCCTTGGGCCACCTTGAGATCTTCTCTTAGAGACTGTGTCTGGAGGTCATCTTGGAGCCATCTTGGGGCCATCTTGGGCGTCTTGAAGGTGTCTGCGGCCGTCTGGAGGTTAGCTTTGGGCGTCTTGGGCCGACGGTCGGCGACTTGGAGCCCTCTTGGACCATCTTAGAGGCCTCTTGAGGCCGTCTTGGAGCGCTCTGGGGGTCCCGAAAACCGCCCCGGGGAGTTCTGGCATCCTTGGGCGGACCTTGCCGGGACCTTGCTAGGGTACTTATCGTCCCAGGAATTCCAGGGGCCGGCCCGCGCGCGCGAACTAGAAATCTCGTTTACCAATAAACGGAGAGTTTAGCACGCCTCTGGCCCGTTGGGCCAGCGAACTATGGTTTTAGAAAGATTTCGGCCTCTTGGAGGCCTCTCGAGGCGCTCTCGTAGCCATACTGGAACCACCTGGGGCCCCTCTTGGGCCTCTCTTGGGCCATCTCGGAGGCCATCGACCCCAGCGGAACCCTCAAAATCGCCTCTGAATTCTCTTGGGACGCTCTTGGGAAGATCTTGGGCGCTCTTCGGGCCGTCTTGGGCCTCTCTTGGATCCCTCTTGGGGATCTCTGGGTCCATACCGGAGCCATCTCGAGATTTCAGAGGCCCGTCGGAAGCGACAAGGCGAGAAGGCAAACAAAAACATTAATTTCTATTAGGTTTTGAACGGTTGATGGCCTCTCCATGGCGTCCTTCGGATGCCCGTTGGCCACTTAGAGCCGACTTGGAGGGATCTTGAAGCCTCTTGGAGGTCTGTTGCAATTGGCAATTTCTGCCTATCTTCAGCGATCTTCGAGGCCATCTTTAGCTCTTTGGGGCCTTCATGGAGCCATCTTGGGCCATCTTGGACGCTCTGACCGCTCGCGAAAAGGCCCCGTCCAGGTCCAGTGGGAGGGGGTACCGAAGAGGAAAAAGGGGGTTGGAAGAGGGGGGTATCAAAAACACTCACGCGCTAAAGGGCTGGTGGGATCTTAGCCCCCCCTCTGGGACTGTCAAAATCGCCTCTTGGGGCCCTCTGGGGCCCCTCTTGATTGCTTCGTGGAGGCCTCTTGGGGCGTTTTGGACGTCGCTTGGCAGTCCCGGGAGCCTCTTGGAGGCCTTTGGGCGGGAAGGGGCTCTTGAAGCCTCTTGAGGGCCCCTTTGAAACCGCTTGGGAGTCGTTGGAAGTCTCTTGGGAGTTTCCGTGGTGCTCTTGGGCGCCTCTTGGGACCCTCTTGGAAACCCAGGGGGCCCTCTTGGGACAGAGAACGACAGCGAACGGGAAACAAGTAGAGAGCCCAGAGAAAAAAAATAGAGAGCCGCGTCAGCTGCCATAAGTTCTTTTTGCCTCAAAGCAAACAAGCAAACTAAGGCGCTGGGGCATACAAACTTTTCGCTTCAAGCGGCTTAGACTAGCCAAGGGCGCCGATGCCCCACGCCTTGGGGAAGCTCCTGGGTGAATACGTGTAATTCCCGCTCCTAGACTATTCGTCCCCATCGTCGCCTCCGATGAGATTGGCCCAGACCAGATGCCTTCGGGGAAACTCGCCGATGGCCCTCGCCTTCGGGGAAGCTAG